ACGCACGGCTTCGTCGGGCGGTCCTCCTTCCTGCAAGGAGTTCGCTATGCGTAAATAACTAGTCGGATTCTCTTTTCTCCTTGAAAGCTCTACACCTCAGCATTAGCTCCGAATTAGGAGCGACCTTTTCTGTAAGCCATCTTCGCTGTGTCCGGTAAGAACATCGTATAATATCACAAAGGCGATTATTCAGAGAAAAAAAGACAGATGGGCTAAGGAAGCGTACCTCCGTGAAGTTTCCGTGCAATTGGAATACTTTGAACGCCCCAGGCCCAAATTGTCAGTTTTCGCGCAAACCCCGCCCTCTGTGGGTGGAGTCCTTTCCTGCTACCTATAATAAGTATTCCCGTCCTATTGCTTGTACTCCTACCAAGTTTGAACGCTCTAGGGCCAAATTGACAATTTATCGCGCAATCTCCGCCTCCTATGATCGGAGTCTGGTCCTGCCACCCACCATTAGTGTTCACATCCTGTTCCCATAACTCCTAACAAATTTGAACGTTTTAGGTCCAAGGGGACAGGAGTTGTGAGTTTTTGAACAAACCTCGCCCATTGTGGGCGGAGTCTGATACTGCCACCTACTGTAAGTGTTCTGACCCTGCCGCCTATAGTACTACCGAGTTTGAGTGCTCTAGGACGACAGGGACATAAGTTCTGATTTTTCGCTCAAACATTTACACATTATTTCTATTTCTCACAAACCCAGTCCCCCTTTGGGCGGAGCTCGGTCCTGCCACCTACTTTATGTGTTCCCATCCTGCCGCCTGTACTCCTACCAAATTTGAACGCTTTCGGTTAACGGGACGGGAGTTATGAATTTCCGGTCAGACACACAAACATACACACACAAACACACCAACAGACACACTTAGCCGATTATATAAGTAGGATAAAGCATCGTTGTTAACAACGTACTCTCTGCGTTTCAGATGGGACGATTTCGACGAAACTGAGATATTCGATAGGTTGATGCATAATTACTGCGGATTTTTTCGCGGCTTCTTTTCTCTCGATACATTTTGAATAGTGAATTGGGAGTTCGATAGAAATAATCTTCTTGCTTTGCATAACAGAGATATGTCTAGAAAGTCAACTCCATATACGCCACAATATGCTCTATTACTTCGAAAAAGGCTGGAAGGTGGCACAGTCATGAAGTGATCTCAACGAAATATTCGGCGATGGAACACTCAGCCAAAGCCGAATAAAGAATTGATTCTACTTCTACGGTCGCCGTATTCACTATGGGCTATCACGCCAATCGCTCACTGAAAAGTTACTTACGAACAGAACTTTCGACGAAATGAATGGCTTGATGGCCGGCGTCAAGGCGTGGATCGCCTCCAAGTATCGAAACTTCTTCACCTATGGAATCCGACTGACTAGCGAATGGGAAACAGTGCCTGACGTAGATGGTGAATACGTTCCCTTGTCATTATTTGAGCATTTTTTCGTTAAATATTCCTACCGTTTTTTTAAGTAAGAACTGCTGAAAAAATGCGCAATAATTATGCATCCACTTACTATTTTGTGCAATTTGTTAATGCCACATTCTAGAGCATAGTCATCTAAGTTACAGAATATTATAATCGGAAATTTCAGAGAACAACAAGGGTTTTTCGAACAATATGGATGGGTACCGTATCTCGTGAATCTTCGCCCGCTGAGGAGCACTTGCTAATAGTTCACAGTAGTTGGCCTGCTCTCAAAAATTACTTTCCAAGGGGTGCATGTTCCTCTGCATGTTTCTTGGCCAAAGACAATGTCAACAAGGAGTTGGATTTGTACTTTCTGATCTGATGTCCAACTTCCCGAGCTGAGTCAAAGACAAGTATCTTGTCTTGGAAATCTCAACACCTGCCCTCCCTTGACCCTGACTCGATTGTCTTTTTTGTAGGATTATCCAGTTCGTATGTAAGGCTGGCTTGAAACCAGAAACTTTTGTCACCTTGCGATACCTTCATCAGTAAACGCAGAGGAATCGAACAAACTACTCTCACAACGACGTAGGTACTAGAGTTGTTCCTTCACAAGTCTCCTGCTTAACCTCTTCCCAAATGCGACCTTTTAACAGCATTAGGCTTACACAATGGAATAGAAGCAGTCAGTTTAGAAGGTCTTCGGCCTAGAAAAATGCTGGCAAGGACCAGCTCCATGCAAAAGTAAAGTAAGCACTTTACAGTTGAAGGATAGAAGGCTCAACTGACATGGACGATATAGGAGCGGACGATTGCTCATCAAATTCAATCCCCTGTCCTTTAGTGTGATGTGCATCGCATAGAGCTAAAGAGCTAGTACACCCGAACCCTGTTTTAGCGGCATCCATTACAAGAGTAAAGCGTCACCGCTTCTTTTCAGATCCTGACCTAACTGCAGCACTTGGTTACTATAGGTAAGAGGATGTGTCACTTGAAACAACGTCTTCTAGTCAATAATGATGGAAGCTTCCCACTTCCGTCTATTAGAGGGTGCAAAAACACCTTCAGGCTGGTTTGTGCAAACTCTCGGCGTTGCGCTATCCCACCGCACTTTTCCGAGATGCACAAAGAAATATTGTTGGGACAGCAAACTTTTTCTGAGCTTCAATGACGCTAGTGTTTACATCAAACTACAGAATCATTCTTTCCAGATTTTTCCCGTGATACATAAAACAAAGCAATATTTTATAAAAAAATAATTTCATTACAAGCTCGATTAATCCATCATACATATATTACAGTCAATGACATCCATTCTTATTAGGAATGCTTTCTTTTGATTCGAACATTGCCACTTTCAGACATTTCCTGTACGCATCGACTCCGGCTCGCTTGGTCTTCTATTGAATTTTCTGGAAAAAAAGGTGGTATCCTGCATTCACCTCCTGTACTTGCTGTCCTGGATACATGATAGAATGTAGATTTCTACATGGGCTCAATGAACCGAGGACAATGATTAGAATATGATATTCCTCGTGATATCGAAAAATACAACCTCCTATGAAATTTGCAAACTTACTGAACTTAACCGAATGAAAGAAGTGAGGACAAGTTAGCCTAATTCAGTAGTTGGTTTAGAGGAATTAAGTGAAAGAGAGACAGAAAGTGCTGAACTCCTGGAGAAGATCTAAATTCTCCAACAGAAAGTATACACATAAATGATTGCATAACAACAAGGTTGCTGAAAGTCCCAGGGTGTACATGTGCGGTTTTTGCCGAAAACATAACAGCTCAAATGCAAACAGAAGCATAAAGAAACAGAAGTTATCTGCCATTCTTCTCTACACAACCTTCCGGAAAAGAGACCACACTATTGAAGTCAGAGTTGTGAAGTACTTGCCTACTTGCTTTCCATTCTGCCTAAATTTGGTATGCCCAAGTTTTCCAATAGCTGAATTGTGGCTGAGAAATTCACAACTACCTTATTACAGCTACTAATTCATGCCCAATCGACGATCGGTGACGGTCTAATCCGTCACCCATTGACGGTTTATCATAACTTCGCGAAACTGTCCCGAATAGGTTAGAAATGCGACCAATTCAGCTCTGCTCGCAATCGTGGTGTTCAAGTATTTCATATCGCATATCAAATACTATATACTAATACGATATATTTGATCTAATATTTTATATCTGGGCGGGGGAACGGTCATCTTGTGCGTCCGAGCACGAGCACGAGTATAACCGTTCTAACGCCGATCTTCGGGGCACAAACTCGAAATGGAGTAGCTTAGTAGGGTCAGATGATTACTGTAATCTACTCTACTTCAAGTTCGATGAATCAATGATAAACGCCACAGTCGTCAGAATCGCCACAAACTTCGCCGCGCAATTTGGCGCGCGCGTCCTCGGACGCACGAGATGACACGTACCCACCTGGGCGGTAGTGCACCTCAAATCTCGGATAGATATTCGCTCAGGCCAACCAAGCCATCCATCCCTCAATGGTTGGTTACTTGGTACCAAACTTGTCTGGGAGGATAAAACCACGAACTTGCACGTCCACCATCAGCTGGCCACCGCAAGTTAATGCACAGTGCACATATGTACTCATTGCGCCATTGTGATTCTGAATGGAAGTCGAGTGCGGGATTGATTAACGCCCTAAAACGTTATCCTCCAAGACAGTATCGTGAGTCTTCCCTTCCAATTAGAAACTTGATTCTCATTGTTGAAAAGAAGATTCGTTTCGGATGACGGAAAATTGTGACTGATTTGGTATCCTTCATGACAAAATTCCAACAAATTCAGCTGTAAACTGATGTTCAAATGGTCCTACAATGGTGTATGCAGGAATTCCAACATAAACTCAGCCGAGCTCAGCGAACCAAATACATCAATAAACATACAATAAACATTACAAATGGTGGAAATTATCGGCATAATATTTTCATTGTAATATTGAATGATTAATATCTAAAACGCTCTCGTGCCCATCAGCCAACTTCTTAAACGAAGATTGGCGGAACAGTCTTCGTTATTAGTGTCTACGATCCCAAACAGTCCAGACTAGACCTCTTTGAACTTACTGTTCCTTTGGTTGATTTGTTCATATCGTTGCCCCCTACATACATAATGCTATCTTACCCAAGCGATGGAACATTGATTAAACGGCTACGGCCCTCTCTTTTTTTGAAAAAGCAGAAGGATCAAACAACAAACAATGATCCGGATAATAGAGCCCTCAGCTTTGAAGAACTTTGCGAAAATCTTTGCAGCTCCAGGGGTATTTGCTGGGCGTTATTCAGAAAACGATTGACAGAAGTTTGAAGTGAAATGGAACGAAAGGTGAGCTGTAGGAGCACCGGGAACACGAAATCAACAATGCAGCACTCGAGCAGCGTGGTTGTCGGTCTGTATACGATCCGCAATGTGAGCACATATTGTCCGCCGTACTCAAGAGCGTCTAATCAGCCGAAACATGTCGTTTTGTTGAGCGGACAGAACCGGATTTGGCCGTTGTTGCCTGCTCACACGGAGCATTTAAGACCATCAGCTGGGCCACGATTGCCTCAAGGTACGATGAAGCTCGTTGTGCTGGCATTTTGTCTCGGTTACGTGTACGCTGAGGTTCGTTAAGCATTTAATTTTCACTTCGTCGCTACTCCTACTTTAATCACGATTGCGCCTTCAAAAATATCTTCCAATAATGAATTTTATGTGAAATATAGTGCTCATAGTTGTGGTTGACGTGAAAGAAAACTCCGTCATTGATGAAGCAAGTCCATTCCAAATGTGCCTGTTTGGAACACTTTTGAACGATTTGTAAAACAAAAGTTCAGCAAATCGGATAAGTCTGTGGCGTTAGTAAGCACCGTAGACAGCTTTGTCGTCCAACACGCCAGCGGATAGTTGTTTACGGGCCATCTTTCTATTATATGGTATTACCCTTGCGTGTTTGTAACTGCGATTTTAAGTACAACTTGAGCCCACTTTTCCAATTAACCCGCAGGGTACAAATACATGAAGGGTTGAAAGTTCCCTAAAACCCTAATGGGTTTCTATAAAATATTTGAGCCCAAAAGTCTTCACTTTTTCGCCTGATTCGCCTTAATAATTTCACATGAAGGATAAAGTCTTTTGGCGTTGATCAATTCCGTCTGAGGAATGCGCCTGGCACTCAACTTCCACTCAGAATCGTAGCCGCGTAATGGATGGGTATATGCTACAAATGACTTGCAGTGGCCAGCCGAGATACGAGTTGTGCCTTTATCCATCAACCGATCCCGGAGGGATGGAAGGATGGTTGGCCAAGGCGGATATCGATCCGGGATATGAACCCGTGCCCATGCGTGTGAGAAAGTGCATCACGTACCACAACACCGCCTCCGCCCAGTTAGTTCACATTTGGAGAAAAAACGCATGCCCGCTTCACTATTATGGCTGTGCATGGAGCCGTGCCTTCTACTAAGCTCTTTCGAATGAAACTTTTGATGGTGAAAAGGGAGCGGCGTTTTTAGCCCAATCTCAATCGTATTGAATGTGTCATTTACAAGCATTGCGTTGTCCATTTACATCTACATATGCCTCCTAACTAAGATTCGATCCACTTATGTATTGAATAGTACAAGTGCAGAAGGCAATTCAGAGATTCCAATCTACTTGTTAAATGGGAACGACACATAACTGTCGGTTACAAGAAGGTCAGAAAATTTGGGAAGGGGTGAGCATTAAACTTGACCGACATGGATGGTAGGTATCCTCATCGCAGAACTAGTTCTGGCATTGAACATATGAGGCGCAGCTAAGCATTGAATATAGGAAGCTTCTGACTGAAGTTTCACTTCCTTAGGGTCGGTGGAGCCGTCAATCCTCATCATGTGAATGCGCATCACCAGCAGCAGCACCAGTCTGCCAGTGTCAACTAACTGCTGCACTGCCATCCTGTCAGTGTAATGCCGCGCAGCAAGCTCCCAGCACTTCTTGTCCATGTGCTGTACAAGCTCAGGTAAATTTTAATAGAGAACGGAGATACGTTTTTCCTCACCGCCGCTCAAATTCAAGGGCTGTTATTACTGGATTCCATTTTTTGAACTTACCAAACCACTTTTTGCAGGCTGATCAATGTATGCCTTCCTGTCAGTCCACCTGCCAGAATGGCTGCCAACTGGTCAGTGGGTGCCAACAGAGCTGTACAAAGTCCTGCCAAACAGCATGCCAACCTATACAACAGGTGAGGCTTTGCGACTGGTTTCGATTTATAAGTTTCTCAAATGGGGTTATATCAGGGTCTCAAGCTATTCTACGAAGTTGGCCTACTTCTAACCGTTACTGAGTATCGGTTTTGTTGAGAGGAACTTTTACAGAATGCTTGTAACACACAGTGTCTTTCATCTTGCCAGCCACAAAAGCTCCCAGCCTGTGAGCAGACCTGTCAGAACAGTTGGTGAGTTTTGACTGCGGCCCTATGTACAAACGTTACCGGCTTTGCGCAATTATTTTTATTGAAATTATTCCAGCATGTCTGATGATCAATACGCTCAACAGCTGATCCAGCAGATGAGCTACAATACACCCGGCATGCTGCCAACAACCACTCCTGCCCCAGCGCATCAAGAAGTATGTTCAGAATTACGCTTATTACGTTGCTTCAACAGGGAGTAGAATGTATCCTTGCCTTGATTACTTTGAACATCTTTTTAGCCCTTCCGGGCCTACAGTGGTTTATTCAGAGTCGCTGTGGACAATGCCAATCGGCGTGCTCACAAGGCTGCAGCCAGCAGTCCTCTCCCAGCCAATGCCAGCAGCAGTGCACAAACGTCTGCGAACCAGTTTGCAATCCAGCCGAGGTGAGTGTAAGTGTGAGGCTCTTTAGCCATTCTTCTGGGGCCAATCTTAGTGTTGGCCAATGATGACCTTGAAGGAAGTATGGTCTTTTTTGTAGAGCTTTTCCAGATCCAGTAGATCCAAATTCCAACCCCTGTTCTTTATGGCTTGATGTTGGTGCGTAGACAACGGAAATGGTCAGAGCTGGAGTTGAGCCACATCTTTCTAATCGCAAGCGTCCGATTCGGTTAAGCTGGGGTTGAGCCACATCCTTTTAATCGTAAACGTCCGATTCGGGTTGCTAAGCTTTCGTACGAATCGATGTTCATGACCAAATGCGTAATGGTGAGCACACTTACACCACCGACGCATCTGCTGTCTGATGTTCCAAGGAACATTTCTTCCCCAGTTTCAAGTGCGAGCGATGCCTTCTCGTCTCGGTAAATCCTATGACGTCGTACATGATCTTTCTGGCTTCATCAGATCTTCGATTCACGCTTTCGATGCAAGCGTTCGTCGTGCATTGAAAGTATAGATCGCCATCTTAGTCCTCCCTTTAGGCAGCCTGAGATTAAGGTTTCAGGTTTGGCCCTGAGATTAAGCAGTCCTCTCGAACGGTTCTACCCAATGCTGCTGTATTGGGGGGCTCCCTCAGGTTCAGGGAAATGAGGCTCATCGTGGTAATCCCATACAACATCTACTTTCACTATCTATGACACCATACTTTTAGAGGAGTATCTTCAAAAGGATTGTCACGCTTACTTCGCCACCGATACACTCTTCTCAGTCAATAGTTCGTCTTCTTCACTCAAAGAAGGTGCCCAAAAATTATTATCACCTGTGACCTCGAGGCTGCTGCCATGGCATACCTTCTGATTCCATTAAATCATGAGATGCTCCTCTGTTTCCCCATCTCAGCTTGCATGGCAATTCGTGTTACTTCAGAGGATGGGGCATCTAAAACAATCCAATGACTTGAATTACCTGAAAACGTCTCTCGTTGGGACAAAATTATACCGTAATAAGTTAAGTCGACGGCAATTCATAGAGTTCAATCATTGCGAGAGGAATATTATCAAAGGAATGCCATGAACTTCTTGATGTTTACATAGACTCTGTGTGTAATCACTTGAAGAGAAATATGTACCTTGTGAGAGAAGTTGCAAGATGAAAACTGTCAGCATTTGTAGAAGACCCATTAGTTGAATGTTTTGCTCTGTTCACGGAGGAAAGTTCACAGGAAAGTTTTGATGAATTGCTCCTAGGTGGTACTAACCTTAAAGGAGCACTAAATTTCTTTAACGCCGGGTCATTGAAAGGAATTGTAAGTCAACCAGTACTCGTCCCATTCCATTTCAACAACTCTTTCTTCAGAAGAAAGTGGCAGAAATCAATGTGGTGATCAAGCTTCCCACGCCGCTCCAAACACCACAATGTCAGTCCACTTGCGAGACGTCGTGCAACAATCAGTGTGTACAACAAATTCAGGTAAAAAGTCTTCAAAATGACGCTGTTTTTGCACATGTACTGGACTTTGCGGGGCCATACTGCGAATTTTATGATTTTCATACATTTATGCATTTTGTATCTCCCAAACATGGTGGATCAACTTCTGCCAGCTGTATTTCCCATCCCACGAGGGATAATTGCGAATTTCTTCAGTCAGCATCTCAATGTCAACCAGCCTGTACACAGTCCTGCACGCAGACCTGTCAACCGGCTGTGGTCAACTGCCAACCGCAGGCCAACAGCAGTGCGTGCTCCTGTCCGCAAAACTATGATCCGTGTGGGAACTCACAATGCTGCAGGAAATGAGAATGTCGAAAGATGGCAGATGTTCAAGTAGATGCTTGTAAATATTGTTTTTCGATAAAAACATAAAGATTTATTTGAAGATTGTAAGTTGGATGACAACATCGCCGTCTACCATAAGAAGCATTGTAATGAGTTTATTATTGAGTTGAGTTGAAGTGCTATGTGTTAAACTTTGATTGGATCCTTTCGAACATTTTCAGCTGGAGTTCGGAATCTCAAAACACTGAGTAGGCTCACTACCTGATCACCCAAAGGTTACCCAATAATAATCCTTCTGAAAAGGGTACTCAGCCAGATTTCAAAACTTGGGAGAGAAGAATTCTTCTTGTCCTGCGGAAAACTTGTGTGCTGGCGGTCCAGTGGATTTTATATACTCCGGTGAATTCGGAGTAGAATAAAACAAGTAAGTAGTGAGCGCGAACGTTACCGCTAGTGAAGAACAGAAGAATAGCACATAAGTCTTTATCTAACCAGGGAAGGGTTTCAAATTCCCATGAAACTTTAAATAGAAACCTAGGTATATCGATAAGGTTTGGAAAGCCATTAACAAATTTAGAAATCAAAATTGCTGAGTGGGTCTACCAAAGAAGTTGTGAGCGCTCAAAGTTTGCATGGACAAAGCATGCAGAGATACTAACAGTTGATATGCGCAGTTGCCCCCAACACCCGCAAGGGTGTCCGTGCCCTAGTGGCAGTGCTGTCCCTCTCCAGGTGACCGTTGTGGGTTTGCTTCCTGTTGGTGTTTTTGTTTTTGCAAAAAGTGATATCCTACTAGTGAATGCTCTTAAACCGTTTTTTGTTACTAATTCAAGTTGGCGCTTTGTTCCAGCTACCATTTGCGATCACATATCTGCCATCTATCACCGCAACATCGAAACATACACACCCCAAGTAAAAGATGCGAGAAAGCTCAACATCGGTAAAAAATCCCAAAATGAGAAGACGTGTAGCTTTTGGTCTCGATAAGATTGTTTTGTGCCGCTGGGAGAGTTCGTTTTCTCTACACACTTGTTCGGTTGTTCCATCGATGTTGAGTTTTCTCGCCTCTTTTACTTGGTTTTACTTGGTGCTTAGTGGTGGGGGGAGGTGTATGCTTCGATGTTGAGAATAAAAGAGCTTACAGAAGTAATATGGTGAATTTTTTTTTTGAATAAGTGCGGTGATAGATAAGTCACCGCAAATGGTAGCCGAAACAAAGCGTTAACTTAAATTAGTAACAAAGAACGGTTTAAGAACTTTTACTAGAAGGATAGCACGTTTTGCAAAAACAAAAACAACAACGGGAAGCAAACTCCCAACGCTCACCTGGAGAGGGAGAGCACTGCCACTACTGCACGGGGACCCTTGCGAGCGTTGTGGGGCAACTGGGCATATTAGCTGCGGCTATCTCTGCATCCTTTGCCCATTCGAACTTTGAGCGCTCACAACTTTTTTGGTAGACTCATTTAGCAGTTTTAATTTCTAAATTTATTAATGGCTTTCCAAGCCCTATCGATATGCCTAGGTCCCTCTTTAAAGCTCCATGGGAAGTCGAAACCCTTCCTTAGTAGGTACAAAACCTACTCTCGCCCTTGACGTTGTTAGAGGTAGAAATGAGGGGCCCACTTATTTCGGGGCCGTTTGACCTCGCACCTTTTAGGGGCGTGGGTCAAGCTAAAGGGAGTCGTCTCAGACAGTGAGACGACGAGATAGTTATGGTGAGGTGATCGTCGCCTGAGACGACGATATCTTTTTCTTGCAAATTGATTTCAGGTCACTCGCTGGCCGCGCAAAAAGAAAATAGTCCTCATCTTTGAGTGAACTTCAATGTTTAACTTTGACGTTATTTTACGTCTAACGGATAGCGTTTTTTGGACGTTGATCAATCCCCTATGGGGATGTGTCTCCTAATTCGACTTCATTCTGAATCGTAGTGGCGTATTGAATGCGTATGAGGCCTATAGACTTGCGGTGGCCAGGCGATGTGCAAGTCAGTACTTCTAGCCTTCCAGACAAGTCTAGTACAAGGTAGTCAAATCCGGAAGGATGGAAGGCTCAGTTGAAATGGGCGATGCCGGTCCAGGATTCGAACCCGTGACCACTTGCCACTGGCCACCTCTGCCCTGTTTGTAAAGTATTAGCGCTAAAGGTAAACAGGAGAGAGACTCGGTCAAAGGAGCCAACACGGCTTAAATGAGTAGTTTTTTGTGAGCTTACAAGCGCAAAACGAGCATATACTATTCCAGCTAAGGTAAGTGGTGAAAGTAAGAGCTATAAAGTGCAAGAGCAAAGGCTGGCATGCTAGATGAATCGAGAAANTTTGTAAAGTATTAGCGCTAAAGGTAAACAGGAGAGAGACTCGGTCGAAGGAGCCAACACGGCTTAAATGAGTAGTTATTTGTGAGCTTACAAGCGCAAAACGAGCATACCCTATTCCAGCTAAGGTAAGTGGTGAAAGTAAGAGCTATAAAGTGCAAGAGCAAAGGCTGGCATGCTAGATGAATCGAGAAAGCCGTAGAGCCCAAGAATAACTCTGGGGAATTGGTGTTGACCGTAGTTAATGCAGCATGAGCAAAATATATGTATAATGCTTTCAGGTGGTATTGTGATCAACTCGGATCCAAATTCATAACGAGCGCACATCGGCTCAGATGACTATAGTTTGACTCCCTACTCTCAGGAAAGAAAAACTAACTCCCGTCATATCATCGGCTCAAGCTCGTATACAGTAGACATGATTGGAGCCTTCCTCGTCACCCTTATTACTTGCCTTCCGCTGACAATCGAAATCGTGTGAGCGGGCTGTAGTGATAGCATCATTCGTCTCTGTCACGAAGGAACGCAGTTAATCATTTCATTATGAAATACGATATCGCGCAATTCTTCCGCCCATGTTTTCAATAAAAACGTCTCAATTCATTTTAAATTGTAATGGTTCAATCACTATCCACGGTCGCAAAGCGTGTCCAGTTCCGAATGCTCGGAGATGATTCATACATACCTGGTCCCTGATCACAACCAAAGCTCAGGGCTTCAGATAATTCTGTTTGTATGCGCCAACTACTCTCGACTTCCGTTTGGAACATTGGTGAAGTTCTGAACGCATATGTAGCTTATGTGGCTAAGCAATGGCTCGCAATCAGACTACGACTTTCGTAAAGATGCTGGGTACAACACAATAGTGCGCCTATGATGAAAAGAAGTCACCATGTCTCCAAAGTCCACCAGGGTCTCAAGTCCTTATGAGGGTTTCTTACCCACTTTTTGCGCCTACCAATAACCAAATCAAGATCACATCGAGAAAGGGAGGACCCTCTGTTCTACTATCGTGTAGCCATGGAGAGTTTACGTACAGGCTAGAAACAGTGAGTGTGGCTGTACTGCGGAACGTTTGAGAACAAATTTCTCCCCGAAACTGCTTTCACTACCTATGAAGGGTTTTCGAGCTTAACTTCTTTCACTAGTTCCTTCACGAACAAATTTCATTTCTGGTGTCGTGGCTGTCGCTGCCATTTCGAAACTGATCCTCGACTTTGTTGTGTATCGAGGAGTTGGAGCTCATGAAGGGGAGCACGAAAAATCATTCGAACCCACCAGAGTAAGTGCAAGATTGATGAGGAGGGCTGAAACAATTTATGGGTAAGAGACCTCACCGATAGCGGAGTTAGGCAGGCTAAAGTGAGCATCTTCCAGTGAGTTGTTCCTGGATGATAGGAACGACCTCACTAGCAGGTCATTGAACTCGCATAGGATACATTGAGGAATGGCGATCAAACTTTGAACGGTCTGACGTACGTGTTTTACCGCTATCAAGGAAGTTTTACTATGCGTCCATCTGACCCCAAGCCATTGCTGTTTACCCCGAACGAAAAACTAATGAGGCGCTAGAAAAACTGAAATCCAAACACCTCGCGAACATAACTGCAGTTGTTGTTTACTTCTTCGTTCATTCCGTGTGACCGTGTTCATCAATGACCCTTGTTAGGATCGGCCAAATTAGAAAATTTCTATTTCGATCAGTTTTTGTCTTTGACTGAAAGGTCTGTATAAAGCCAAGCATGTTGGTAAGCAGTAAGTCGTACATACATATTAACAGCTTTCTGTTGCAGTGTCATGCTTTCCCTGAGAGTTGAGCTTCCCTATTTATTTGTTTATTTGTTTATATTTTCATCTATCTATTAAAATACACCTAAGGGTGCACCTACAACAAAGTAATGCATATGGATCGTTTTTGTTTTCTCTGGCAATATTGTGCGAAATTCTCACTTTGTACAGAGGATTTATCTGGATCAGAGAAAAAATATTCCTGTACACTATGAGTAAACGAAGTCATAATAATTGTTGAAATCATCAGATCGGTCCGAAGCTTCGG